AGGCAGTGGAGAACTTGGAGAGGGGAATTAACAGGAGATAACTGATAACTGACATCCATTAAAAATGGCACGTGGAACTAGAACAGTCTACCCCAAGTGAGCGTAATAAAGGGTTCAATTCGACTTTCCAACCACCTGAAGAAGGCCGGAGCGTAGAACGGCCGAAACGGTGTAATAAATATGGCGACAAAGATGAGGACAATAGTCCGAATAACGTAAATAGTGTACATAATACCTCATCTCAGAAATATAGACATATATAAAATACATTGTAGAACATGTATATAGACCTTGACTTGTATAAAAATACGTATGCTGTTGGCACACGGAATGATTTTAAACCCCTAAGTCGGTACATATTCAGCAAAATGTTGCCGAACTCTGTACTAGAAAATTTACTCACAGATGAAGAAGAAACCTGAAGAATCGGAGATGCCATTCAATGGAAGAATGCCAAGAACAACATGGACAGAGCATGTGAGTAATTCGGAGGATTTTTAAGAAAAATGGTTACAACAATGAAAATTACAATTCTAAATGGACCGTTGATATTTCTAAGACCAATAAAGAAGACAGACAGTTTGGGCAATTTAATATTCACAGGATATATTGAAGGTAAGAGAAAAAGGTTGATTGATTGATTTGTTTAACGGCATACTTATGGGTTATTTAATGCCGAAATTTAATTTTCTTGGGAGCTTGGAAGTAATAAATATATTATACAGGGTGTCCATAAAGTTCGTGTGCACTTTAAAAATTTATAATTTTTTTTTTGTATTTGCGATAGAAATAAACTGTAAAAAATGTTATAAAGTTTAAGGAACCTAGTTTTAAGTATATCTAAAATAACTAATGTGATTTCAAACATTACTTTAAATCAGTTGGCAAATGTTTTCCGTGAACTGCAAAATCGTATTACCCTCTGTACTGCTAATGATGGAGGACATGTAGAATCTTAAATAAAATTTCAATAAAACGTAAAAAAAATAGAGATTTACTTCTTTCTAATCTTTTTTTATAGATTATTTCTATCGTAAATACAAAGTTATAATTTTTAAAGTGCACACGAACTTTATGGACACCCTGTATAAGTTATTCTTCTTCCGCAATTGAATACATCGTAGATGATTCTCAGGTTTTCCTCCATATGCATGTTTTATTAGACATAATTACTAGAGGGGGTGATATATGTGTTTTCTGTTGTAGTTTTGTTGGAATTATATTTTGGAATATGGTTTTGATTTAAGAAATGCTTATACAGATTAATGTCTAATAAAAGAGTTTTTATATTGGCTTGTTGATTATGTATAGCAGTATACCAACCTCATTGGGTTGTTCAATTTGAACGCAGTTGTATGCCTCCAACTACAGATAAGCGTCCTGGGTATGACGATAAACTACATCGGCATCCTGGGTTTCAACTACACCCAACAGCAAGGCCTTTGATCAGGAGGTTTTGAGGAGCATGGAACCACCTCTTAATTGCTGGTGTTCTCAGGTCCACATTGACCAGGGGTGGAAGCACCTGTTTGGGTCCCAGCTATGAGCAAATAGTTAACCCCGAAACTTGGGTCAAAACACTATGAAAGTGTAAAAATAGATTTTAATACCAGAAATACTTTGTCAACAATTATTTTCAGCGATACATTTTTTTTAAAAAAAATACCAACAATACATTTTTGAAAAAAAAATATATATATTAACAACAATACGTTTTTGAAAAAAAAATATTACCAGCAATATATTTTAGGGAATAAAAATATTACTAGCCATACAGTTTTGAAGGAAAACATTATTACCAGAAATAGATTTTTGACAAAAGAAAATATTACCAGCAATAAAAATTTTGTCGACATTAAATAACCCATTGACGTTGATATGTCGTAAAACAAAACAAACCAAACCAAACCAACTACGGATAAAATGTATTACTGGTTATTTTACTATACATATGTATTGGTCCTTTTTATATATAAAAAATGTATTGCTGGTATTTTTACTATAAAAATGTATTTTTATACTTTCACAGTGTTTTGTTTTCGTTTAGGGTTCACTATTTGCGCATAACTGGGGCCCTAACAGGTGCTACTACCCCGGGTCAGGGTAAACTTTGGAACAATAGAAGTTAAGAGGTGGTTTCGTGCTCCTCATAAACTCCAATCTCCCGATCAGAGGCCTTACTGCCGGATATAGTTTATCGTCATACCCAGGACTCGAAATATGTAGAAAAACGAGTTACTATCTTAGAGTGTTTATGTTTATATGCAGGAGTAAAAGAATCAATAATGATAAATGAGCAACAAAAAGGGAGGTTGGGAATTGGAGATTATACGTATCTCATTGAATACGACAGACAAGAAATATATTGTCAGTGGTAATCCATCGGAGGACTTCAGTCAGTACATATCCGATCCATTACCTAAGAAATCGGGTGCAGATGGTTGCAAGCAGTGGTCTGACAATAAACCTACTGAGTTAGATAACCAATAGATCATAAAGCAGAATTAGACCGAGAACAAGGCAAGGAAAGTGTGGTTTTATGAAGGAGATTTATGACTGGAATGATATCGGAGAAATGGATACAAATTTGAATTTACGAACACACACGTTTTATAGATTGCGCAAAAGCATTTGACAACGTAAGATATAAAGATCTATTTGAACTGTTAGAGAAACTCGATCTATTTGGAAAAGATGATGGAATAATCCAGAACTTATGAAAGAAGGAAACTGTTATGGGATCTTCCCCATAATAATAACGGACTATTCCATGCTTAATAAATACTGCGCCACAAATCTTGAACGACAGATCGGTTGAACTCTCTGCCTTCGGGCGGGGAGGAACCCGAAGGAGGCTACGCCGAAGGGCGGACTCTCTTTCGGGAGGTAACCGGCCCTGAACCCGTTTATACGGGTTCAATGGGCACATATTTACAGCCGAGCCCACGGGCTCGGAGATCCCACGTTAAAAAGGCCTTGTGTCACATGACGCCCTCGTGGGGTGGGTGACTGAATATCATCAGTAGTTCAAGTCGAGTCAAGAGTCGAGTCAGAGGCAGTCCGAAACAGAGTCGCGTTCAGACAATTACTGCAAGACATTGGAATAGTGATACTGGTTGAGACTACATTGTTCTCTCTACTAAACCTGATTGTTCATACTAACACTTTCTACTTCTCTGTATATATTGTAATATATTTGTATTCCATATCTGTGTTAGTTCTTCTTTATTGGTTCTACATTGGACTATCACCGTGGTACAAGGAACCGGACCATAACAGAAACCGCTTGCACAGGGATAAAAAAAATAAATAAATTAAGTACATACACACAAACAGAAACGGACGTAAGACAAGAATGTGTCTGCCGCTTCAAATATGAACAGTATCTCCAGTGAGTCAATCTTAAGGAAGTCTTATTAAAGACATTTTTTATGTTTAACGTTCTTTTTACAGATACAAGTATTTAAGTAAATGATCTGTTTAAAATAAACAGTATTAAAGAACATTTACCGGCCTGAATGTCCGAGAAAGGATCGTTCAGTAACCGAACGATCCTTTGTGGCCGAGCGGTCAAGGCACGTCAGCGTAAATGACGGTTCCGTATAGGATGCACGTTCGAATCCTGTCAAAGGACGAATATTTTCTATGAAAATTTCTCGGACATTCAGGCCGGTAAATGTTATTTAACACTGTTTATTATAAACAGAGCATTTACTTAAATACATGTATCTATAAAAAGAACGTTAAACATAAAAATGTCTTTAATAAGTAAAATATATCTATATATACACAATCCTATTAAATGAGAAATACGCAAATACATATATATATATAAGTATATCTATATATATATATATATATATTATGTATTTAGCAGCATTTTTCATTCATACATGTGCATAACATGTATGAATGAAAAAATGCTGCCTAAAAACACACAATTTAAATTACATGATCCAGCAGCCCACAATACTATCAATACTTGTAATTATAAATGTAGCCCTGTGAAAAGGCAAATTGAAATAGCCAAGGAAAAATTGGCTTATGTAAGCCGAAACCTTAGATTGGATTAAAAAATATGTATTAATATTGTGATTTTCTTTCTTCGTTTAATAATAATGTTGTTAAGATTATCAGACGTTATGAAAAGAATTTACGTAAAATAAATAGACAACACTTGTCTATATTATTTAATGGAACATGTATGAATACATACATATATATATATATATATATATATATATATATATATATATATATATATATATATATAATTATATATGCGTTTTGTGTGTGTGCATGTATGTGTGTGAATGTACGTCTATAACGAAAATGGATAAGCAGATATATAAATGGACAGATACATAACTAATAACCAGCATAGGAGAGACTTCTCACAATCCTATTAAATAAGATATAGTAAATGGCTACATTTTTACGAACGCAGACATATTCTAGGTATCTATCCTTTGGAATTCTGGCAGTCAGCACACACACACACACACATATATATATATATATATATATATATATATATATATATATATATATATATATATATATATATATATATATATATATATATATATATATATATATATATATATATATATATATATATATATATATATATATATATATATGAAAATATTGATATGCATATTATCGGAGGAAAAAACCTTCTTGAACTCGCCGTATGCACTCTATTACTTAATTACGCGAGCGTGTGAGTCGCGAGTGCAATGTTCTTTGTGTCCGTCAGCACGTGCGCAGGAGTATGCAAATAAGATATTTAGAAGCGCGCACAATATGCGTTCATGCGCGGGCAATTAGGTGCGCATGCGCGATTACTGGCCAGATAAAAGCAGACTGGAACTGAAGCCCGAAAAACGAAGTTGTAGTAAAAGGCATGCCTTTGTATGCAAACGCCTGGAAAATCTGTTTCGGACCGAATAAATACGAACGATTTTGATTGATCCAATGATTTGTCCGGGAGGAAATTACTTTGGATTGGTGAAAAAAAAAAAAGAAAGAAAACTAAAAGAATATCCCGCCTGCGTATATAGTGTGGAGTGAGGCAAAGAGTTTGATGTCGTGTATGATGAAAAAGAGTTGTTATAAAAGGAGGAAATACAGGGAAAGAGAAAATTTGTACAAGAAGAAAAATGGATGCGGGAAAGAAAAACGATGCAGAAGAAAAAAAAAGAATGAGTATGAAAGCCTTTAGAATAATGAAGTAATGCAGAAGTGAATGAAAAGAAAAGAGACTGAAGAAGAGAAACATTTCTTAAAATAACGAGAGATAAATTAATGAGAAGAAAGAGGGAAAAAGAAAGAAAAGAAAATGATGGACACACTAATGAAATGAATGAAAAAAGAAAGAAAGATACCAAACAAAGTAACGATTGAAAGAAAATGGAAGAAAAAAAGAAAAAGACAAAAACACAAGAAAAACAAAAATAGAAAATATTAAACTAAGAGATATGGAAAAAGCGATATAAATAAATGTAAAAAATATATAGATAAAAAGAGAACGAGATAAAGAGAGAAAAAGAAGAACAAAAAGGAAGGAAAAATAAATTTATAAAAGAAACGAAAAAAAAGAGAAAGGAACAAGAATTTAATCCATCTGCTGCTTTCTACATTGTTCCTTTTTTTTCTTTTTTTTTTCTGTGTTTCCTTTCATATATATATTTCTTCCTTTTCCTTTGTTCTTTCTTTCTTTTCTTTTGTTCTTCTTTTCTTTATCTCTTTCATTTTTCTCTTTCCTTTATTCTTTCATTTATTTTTATTCCTTTTTTCTATATCTCTGTTAGTTAATTATTTTCCATTTTTGCTTTTCTTGTGTTTTTGGCTTTTTTCCTTTTTTTTTTTTTCTTCCATTTTCATTTCATCGTTACTTTGGGTTTTTTTTTGGGGGGGTGTCTCTTTCAGAAGGAAATGCATTAAAGAAAGGAAATTAAAAAGAGAAAAAAAAATGAACGACGGTAAAGGCAGAAGAAAATACGTAAAATGGAAAAAAAAAAGAAGGAATGAACGAATCGAAAAAAGAAAAAAACGTGACGGAAAGAAAAAGGTTAATGAAACAAAAAGAGATAAAAACGAATAAAATAAGGAAAATAATTCTGCTTGGAAGAAGAAAACTGAAAGAAGAAAATATGAAAGATAAAGAAAAAAAAGAAAGAAAAAATGAAATTGAAAAATAAGGAAAAATACATGTGCGAAAAAAAGTGATAATCAAAAGAAAAATAGTGAAAATAATTAAGGTTAAGATTGCAAAGAAGGAAAAGAATATGGTAGACAAAAAAAGAAATATGTGTAGAAGGAAGGGAAAATGAAAAAAAAAATATATATAAAAAAGAAGACAAAGAATGGAAAATGAAAACAAACAAATAAAAAAAGGCAAAAAAAATGATAAAAGAATGATATCTAGTGATATGCAATGTGATCGGTCTTGGTCTGGCATCTCGTCTACTCTACAATCAATTTCCAATCGTTTCATTTGTACCCCCTTACTTCTTAGAATAGCAACGAGCTCTCATGTTTTTGGTTTTTAATGCAATATTTTCATAAAGTTGTTAAGCCCAAATATTTAACGATGCGATAAGCGAATTTCTACGGATATTTTAATGTCGGAGAACTCTCTATGTGCTTTTTCGAACATTAACTGAATAATTAAAATTCATCAGAAAATTCAAGCAGGAAAACTGGGAAAAATTTTACTGGTTAAAACTATATATTACTATTTGATTTGAAGTTTCCCCAGGGACTTAAATATTTCGGCCGGGTGACTGAGGTGTATCAGCTCTTACCGCCAGCGAATATACGGGGTGCGATTGATACATTGTCGTCTAAATGCGACAAACAGGAAAATGACACTGACATCTCCTTTTAAAAGATATGCATAGTGCGATTAATAAATTGTCGTCTAAATGACACAAACATGAAAATGACCATGACATCTCTTTTATATACATATATATATATATATATATAGGGTGCGATGAAAAAGATGTCCTCTAAATTACACAAAAATGAAAAAAAACAAAAACAAAACTGGCATCTCATTTTAATAGTTATATTTACCTGTTGTGGAGTATTTTCACAGTGTAGGCTTGTATTTCTAATAAGTCGTCCTAAATTAGATCCGACGTACAAAACGTTAGGAACTTGGAAAATAAGAGTCAATGGCGCAGCAAATCTAGTTGTGATGGTTGGTACTTCAAATGTCCGAATCTCGACTGACGCGCTTAACACCGTTCGGTATTTATCATTTCATCCACGAGAAACGAATATGGCACAAGGCCGGTTTTATTAGGGTTTCCGAGGGTTTCTGAAGCCGATTAGCGGGTTAGGCTCGGCCTGAAAAAATAAAGCCCGTCTGGGTTTGCTAATGCAGAGATTAGGACGGGTTCAGAGGCCCTCAACACCGTTCGGTATTTACCATTTCACCCCCGGACGAAACGGTTTTATTGGGGTTCTCCGAGCCCTTCGGCAAGCCTCGTAGACGGGTTCAGGGTTCCTCCACGGACGAAACCTTGCCCTTCGGCAAAGCCTCGTCCGGGCAGAGAGTTCGACAGGAGGCGTGCGCAGTCAGAGACCGCTCAACACCGTTCGGTATTTATCATTTCACCATGAGAAAACGAATATAGCACAAAGGCCGGTTTTATTAGGTTTCTCCGAGCCCGTAGGCTCGGCCAAAAAAAGCCTTTGAAGCCGATTAGACGGGTTCAGGCCCTGTCTACCTAGACGAAACCTTGCCCTTCGGCAAAGCTCGTCAGGTTCCTCCTGCTAATGCAGAGAGTTCGACAGGAGGCGCGCAGTCAGAGACCCTCAACACCGTTCGGTATTTATCATTTCACCCATGAGAAACGAATATAGCACAAGGCCGGTTTTTATTGTGGGTTTCTCCGAGCCGTAGGCTCGGCCAAAAAAATAGCCTTTGAAGCCGATTAGACGGGTTCAGGCCCCTGTCTACCTCCCCGGACGAAACCTGCCTTCGGCAAAGCCTCGTCGGGTTCTCTGCTAATGCAGAGAGTTCGACAGGAGGCGTGCGCAGTCAGCGACCGCTCAACACCGTTCGGTATTTATCATTTCACCCACGAGAAACGAATATAGCACAAGGCCGGTTTTATTGTGGGTTCTCACGATCCACAGGCTCGGCCAAAAAAAGCCTGAAGCCGATTAGACGGGTTCAGGCCCTGTCTACCTCCCGGACGAAACAACGCCCCTTCGGCAAGCCTCGTCTGGGTTCCTCTGCTAATGCAGAGAGTTCGACAGGAGGCGTGCGCAGTCAGAGACCGCTCAACACCGTTCGGTATTTATCATTTCACCCCGAGAAACGAATATAGCACAAGGCCGGTTTTATTGTGGGTTTCACGATCCATAGGCTCGGCCAAAAAATAGCCTTTGAAGCCGATTAGACGGGTTCAGGCCCTGTCTACCTCCACGGACGAAACCTTGCCCTTCGGCAAAGCCTCGTCCCTAATGCAGAGAGTTCGACAGGAGGCGTGCGCAGTCAGAGACCGCTCAACACCGTTCGGTATTTATCATTTCACCCATGAGAAACGAATATAGCACAAGGCTGGTTTTATTGTGGGTTTCTCGAGCCCGTAGGCTCGGCCAAAAAATAGCCTTTGAAGCCGATTAGACGGGTTCAGGCCCTGTTACCTCCCCCGGACGAAACCTTGCCCTTCGGCAAAGCCTCGTCTGGGTTCCTCTGCTAATGCAGAGTTCGACAGGAGGCGTGCGCAGTCAGAGACCGCTCAACACCGTTCGGTATTTATCATTTCACCCACGAGAAACGAGCACAAGGCCGGTTTTATTGTGGGTTTCTCGAGCCCGTAGGCTCGGCCAAAAAATAGCCTTTGAAGCCGACAAGGCCCTGTCTACCTCCCCGGACGAAACCTTGCCCTTCGGGGTTCCTCTCTGCTAATTTGCGCAGTCAGCGACCGCTCAACACCGTTCGGTATTTATCATTTCACCCCACGAAACGAATATCACAAGGCCGGTTTTATTGTGGGTAGGTAGGCTCGGCCAAAAAAATAGCCTTGAAGCCGATTAGACGGGTTTCAGGCCCTGTCTACCTCCCCGGACGAAACCTTGCCCTTCGGCAAAGCCTCGTCCGGGTTTCTCTCTGCTAATGCAGAGAGTTCGACAGGCGTGCGCAGTCAGAGACCGCTCAACACCGTTCGTCAGCCGGTTTTATTAGGTTTTCCGAGCCCGTAGGCTCGGCCAAAAAATCTTTGAAGCCGACCGTTCGGGTTATCTACCTTTGACGAAACTTGCCCGGCAAAGCCTCGTCCGGTTTTCACCCACGAGAAACGAATTAGCACAAGGCCGGTTTTGCAGGGTTCTCGGAAAAATAGCCTTTGAAGCCGATTAGACGGGTTCAGGCCCCTATCTCCCCGGACGAAACCTTGCCCTTCGGCGGGTTCCTCTGCTAATGCAGAGAGTTCGACAGGAGGCGTGCGCAGTCAGCGACCGCTCAACACCGTTCGGTATTTATCATTTCACCCACGAGAAACGAATATGGCACAAGGCCGGTTTTATTGTGGGTTTCACGAGCCCGTAGGCTCGGCCAAAAAAATAGCCTTTGAAGCCGATTAGAGCGGATTAGGCCCTGTCTACCTCCCGGGGTGCCCTTCGGCAAAGCCTCGTCCAGGTTACTCTCTAATGCAGAGAGTTCGACAGGAGGCGTGCGCAGTCAGAGACCGCTCAACACCGTTCGGTATTTATCATTTCACCCACGAAACGAATATAGCACAAGGCCGGTTTTATTGTGGGTTTTCGAGCCCGTAGGCTCGGCCAAAAAATAGCCTTCGGGTTCCTCTTTGCCCTTCGGCGCAGAGAGTTCGACAGGAGGACGTGCGCAGTCAGAGACCGCGAGACGCCGTTCTGCCAGACTTGACACTGCTACTCCTACTTATTATCTATGGGAGAGTCTATTACAATAGAATAGGTACCTAACATTACCAAAATTACACACAAAAATCTTGAAATACTAAAGTGTAAATTTATTCTATAAAATCGCCATTGGCTTCCCCCACGTTCTCCAGACACGGAATCTCCTGCAACTCTTCTGGGCGGTCTCTCTGTTTAAGTTGGTGGATGCTGCCATAATCCTTGACTTCAGTTCATCTTTAGTTACAAGGAGATTTGTTGGTCTCTCGCTCAAATGCGCCCCACACATAATAATCAAGGGGTTTGCCGAATGAGAAGTTAGGTGGACAGATATAAGGGGCGATGTGGCCGCAGAAATTTTCTGACAACCATGACTGAGTTCTGCTGCTTGTGTGGCATGGTCCAAAATGCTGTTGCCAGACATGTCTTCCACCCTCTTGACCCAGGGAAGAACTGTCTTCTCAAGGCACTTGATGTAGGTCTCCGTGTTGAGTTTGAGGCCCTGATGGAGGTTGAATGGAGGCATAACGTCGCCATCACTTGTGATAACTTTAAACACCTTCGTAATCACCATTCGACTCTTCCAACTATTTTCTTTTCACTATCGTTAGATGGACACCCAAAGACAATATTCGTATTGGAGCTTCCGGCACGAATGCCAAGGAGTATAGTACGCCGTTTCCAATTTCTGGCAGTGTGAATTGCGTCATGGTGCTCTTTTTCTTTCGGACGGTGCCCAACTGACCCTAGTATACCCTCGAGAAAATTAAAAACAAACAACGCGCATGCGTGAAATTGAAAATATAAAATGGCGACAATTTACTCATCGCACCCTGTTCACATCACTTTTAGGTATTTCAAGCAGTACTTCTACCAGCGCACAACTAATGACCCCCGGTATCCCCAACGTGTCCTGCGTAGTCTTGGAAATAGTCCCGTTAGCGCCAACCACAAAAGGGACAACTTGATTTGCTGGTAGGTATATTTCTCTGATTTCCTCCAGTTAGGTCTTCGTATCTATGTATTTAAGCCTGCTCCCCCGGCTTTACGGAGTTCCCATTCCAAGTCTGCCAGAACCCGGAATTAAATAACTTGGGATTAGCTGATAATCCGTAAACATGGCGGAAATAATAATAATTATTAGGTCTATTATTTTTTATTTTTTTTATTAATCAACCCTAGCATGATGATAATGCCGTTAGGACGAAAGAGATTCCAAAGAAGGAAAGAGAATGAGTAGGAAAGGGACAATAACGGAAAATGTTTCAGAAAGACAGAACATGGCGATTGGTGCTACCTTTACATTTTTGAAGATCATAGAGAAGCAAGCAATTGAAAAGGAGTTCAACAGAAGTCCGAGAAAAGAAACTGTTAAAATAGAACTGACGGCTATATCTAGCTAGTTTAACAGCAAAACAGTGGTACCTAATTGCCAATCTGGTAACACGCTTAAATTCATGCAGTCCAGATACTGAATAGAACAGCTCGCTAGAACAATTACCATGGAAATATTTGTAGAAAAGACAAAGAGGAGCCATATCACGTCGGTGAGAAAGTGACTGAAGTCCAGATATCTAGTCATAAATCGATTATATTACCGACCCTTCATAGAATTTTATGAAGAATCTTGAGGTATGCAGTGGGAGAACCAGACCTGATATAGCATTATTACTTTCGTCCATTTGCGATAAAGAATCTTTTTTAAAAATCCGGTTAATAATGAAGGCTGTAGCATGCATCGGCTGAAACGAAATAAACCAGAATCTGAAAAGACCATTTATCTTTATTTGAAACACAATTAGGACTAATATTCTTATGCAGGTTAATTTTATAACTTCTTTTACATTCTTCAGCCTTCATTATTACCCGGAATTCTAAAAAAAAGACACGTGTCCATATTCTGGATTTATAAGTTACTTTCCGCCGATTACCAGAATCGGGTAATAATATCAATTCAAACAACACATGAATGATGATAACGTACAATTTTCAGCAACAAGTTTGGCCGAAGAAGTAATCGGCTGAAAATAATTATAAATCTAGGATATGGACACGTGGAACGATAATAGAGTGTCCTTTTTCTAGAATTCCGGGCAATAATAAAAGCCGAAGAATGTATCGACTGAAAAGAAGTTATACATCTGACCTACATAAGAATATTAATCCTAACTGTACTTAAAGATAAAGAGTCTTTCCAGAATTCATTGCAGTTAGAAAAAACGAAGAATTCATCTCCTGGAAAGAAGTTATAAATCTCGGATTATGGCAGACATCATAATAATTAAGTCTATTATTATTTCATTGCTTTTTCAAGGAAGCGATGGGCTCGGCATCGATGGAGATCGAATGAGAGAAAACCCTTTTAACTCACGTGTTCATTAGTTTTCTTTTAATTCATTTATTGAGCCTAAAATTCTTTTAAACACGCAATACCAGGACATTACTAAGTGTAACCTTTATTATGAGGTGTGAGTTCATCTCAGACTGCTTATTCCCCCAGAACTGTTGTAATTCAGAGCAAAATCCCAAGAGGTTATTTCCCTGATCCCTACAAACATTGCCTGTTCAAATCGAGGGAAAAATATTATCTCTCCTACATATCCTCATAATCTACCATCCTTACTCCTTCCCGATAAGTCCTTACAACATCCCCATTCAGTAACCCTTTACCTTAAGTGGCACTTGGGCCTTGTGTTAAGTTGACAATAATAAAAAAAAATATTCTTTATGTTGTGGAGTAGTTTTCACAGTGGAGGCTTGTACTTTACTAAGTCAGTCCTAAAAGGGTTCGATGTACAAAACGTTAGGAATTTGAAATAATAGTTAATGAAGCAGCAATTTAGTTGTGGTGGTTGATACTTTAATGTCCGACATCGACTGACTCACACAACTCACTGAGCTCACTGGCGACTGCTACTACTACTACTTATTATCTGTGGTAGAGTCTATTTACAATAGAAATAGGTACGTTCTGGTATAACATTTTACTCGGCCTTACCAAACCTTTAAATCATAACTCCTCTTCTCGTAAAAAAAAGACCTCCACCGTCATCACGTATGACGGGGATATTTTGAGCCCTTTTCTGATCCAGGGTCCTCTCACATTTCAGACTGAATTAACGATTTGGGGTTTTAAATACCGTAGAATAGACGTCTAAAAACTGCTATTACGGCAATATCCCTCTTGAGACATTGATTCACGCCCGATCAAAGAAGTTATGGAACATTGAAACTTGTCAGTACGCAGATGAGTGACCGCTGGAGAAGACCAAATGCGACATGCCGAGCAGGCCAGCGATGGATATCATCCCCGGTAATTATACTAATAGACTGCCTCGCGGAGATGCTCCTCGATTGACAGGCCGCAAGACGTACATGGGGTTGGGTGGATAAGTGCTCTACGAGATATAAAGAAATAAATAAAAAAGAAAGGAAAAAATAACAAAAAACAAAACAAAAGAGATCATTATTTACATTATTCGGACTATTGTCCTCATCTTTGTCGCCATATTTATCACAGCGTTTCGGCCGTTGTACGCTCCGGCCTTCTTCAGGTAAGAACTGAACCCTTTATTTCGCTCACTGGGGTAGACTGTTCTAGTTCCACGCGCCATGTTTTAATGGATGTCAGTTATCTCCTGTTAATTTTCCTCTGAATTTCTCCGCTGCCTTAACCGGGTATTGAACTCACACTCTTTGGGTCCTGTTACCGGATCTGACCAACCACTGGATCTAACCAACCACCGTGCCATGTGTTCTCAAGGACACATGGCACAGTGGATAAAGGCGTTAAAAGATAACAGAAGCGAAAGGAACGATAAAGCGAAAGATGCCAGGGAGGGACTGACATGCGAGGTAGAAGAAATCTAAAGACAGTTAAACATACGCGCATTATACATACATGTCCCATGAATGTGTGGATGATACCGCATGTGTACCTACGTAAGTGTATATGTTTGCAACTATTTGTACCCGTATGTATGGGTATATGTGCTTCGTTTTTGTTTGATGTGTGTGTTTGTGTGGTTCGTTTGTGGAACGTTTCAATAACAGTTTCAAACCTACACGTCATAATTTCATCCATTTTAATTCGGTAGATTTTTTTCACTTTGAAGTATTTTTACGTTCCTTGAGGAAAAGTAATTTTGGCTAGTTTTTCTTTTTTAATTTTAGATTTTCTTTTGTTTTTCTGATTTCTCAATGTTTATTTTCATTATGGTCTTAAATATTTAGGTTGACAAGGCTTTGCATATGTAAATTTTCTTAATTTTTCATTAATGACCTTCGTCCGGCCCGTGACCCGTCATTATAACACGATCCGGCCCGTGGGGGTCGAATGAGTTGCCGACCCCTAAGTTAAATAGTCTCACGATCCCAAGCGTGATGAATACACTCCTGAAGACATAATCAGTCATGGAGGAATTTTTCAGTGAATCTGAACTTAGTCTAATGAGCTTTCATCCCTGGTACTTTTTTTTTCTGTTATACATGTTAACCACTGCTAGAGAGTCTAGTCTACCTTACTATTTAATCCACATTGGGGGCACGGAGGAAGATGGATTCCTAGATATGTGTAGGCTATTTGTACATAAGAGATTTTTAACAATCACGACTGGAATTCGAATTTGTACGGCTTCTCCAGTTCTCGTTCTGATCCTCTAATCATTAGACTACCTGCTCATCCACAAGAGAGATGAACGAAGAAAAGCAAGAAACAAAAAGAAAGAACGAAATTCAAAACATGTCAACGAATGACGAAAGTGAGTAAGAAAAAAATGAACAAAAAAAAAGACAAAGCAAATAAAAAAAAAACGTATGAGGAAAGAAACAGAAAAACGAATGATGAATACAAAAAAAGAAAATAGAAAAGTGGCGGGAAAGATATCAAATTTAACATGGCGACCGAATGGGGAAATCAGGTTCTGTAGGATAAATAGGCAAAAATGCAAGGGAGGTAAGCACGCTTCGTACATTTTTTTTTTTTTTGTCAGATTTTTCCAACCTTCTCAATGGGGAAGAATGGTAATCAAGAAAAAAAATGTATGGCTAATAAAGTGGTATCACAAGGTAGAGAATGGAAAAGAAAATTACTCGAAAATAAGTAGAAAGGAAGAAAAAAAAATATGGTAACGAATCAAAGAATTGCATGAAAGAAATGAATGAAAATTCTTCAAAACGAATGGACCGACATGAGGGCATTATAATCGATATACGTTTCAATATGGTTTTGTATTGATATATTTTTCATTTCACGTTTGCAAGAACTAGCAGGAAAGCCTGAGGGGTTGCGGCTAGGAATTAAAAAATCCAACATTGAAATTTAATTTCCATGCCAGGTTACTGCAGTTATATTTCTATATGCCGTTGACGATCATAACTCTCAACAACTTCCTATCCATTTAACTCTAAAAAAAAAATTGCTTTATGTCCACATCACGTTGAATCGCCGGTTCCTGTACAATCACCGAAGTTAAGTAACGTCGAGCCGGGTCAGTATCTACAGGGGTGACCGTTTGGGGATACCAGATGTTTTAAGCTTGAATGTGCGGGTGGTGTAATAGATTATGGCGTGGAATTGTTAATCCGAGTTCCAATTCCCGTTGGGTTCGTTATATTCACTTACGTACAGATACCATTGTTAAGGATATGAATCCACCTTTTCTCCCTCTAGCTACGGGTTAATTAGTATGACTTGTATCACTAAATCATTATTATCTTCAAAAAAGAAAATCTTGCAATCTAAATATATTTTATGGCTTTAAATAACATGGAAATGCTTTATGAGACGTAGAAAACAAATCAATCTTAATAAATTTCGTCTTATGTTAATCTCGCCTAAATCTTGGTCCGTCATCCTCTTCACTTAAAATCGTTCGGTGTCTTATACATTGTATTTCTTTGTCTCTCTTGCCTTCAATCCATCCTGTGAGTATTAAATTTTCCCAATTCTTTCACATCAAATAACTCTTCGTGTCTTAGTTGGGGTGCATGTGATAAAACCGATTAAAACAAAATCACATATATATTTATTAAAGACATTTTTATGTTTAACGTTCTGTTTATAGATAGAAGTATTTAAGTAAATGCTCTGTTTATAATAAACAGTATCAAATAACATTTACCGGCCTGAATGTCCGAGAAATTTTCATAGAAAATATTCGTCCTTTGACAGGATTCGAACCTGACGTGCCTTGACCGCTCGGCCACAAAGGATCGTTCGGTTGGCAAGGTTGAATTTACTCCTTATAAACTTCAATCTTCCATGAATCGTGTACATTCATAACTGCTCATGGCGTATCAAATGTAAACAAATGACGTCATATATTAAGAAATGGACAAAGAACGTTAAACATAAAAATGTCTTTAATAAATAAATTGTCGGACTTTGTCCATTTCTTAATATATATATATATATATATATATATATATATATATATATATATATATATATAATCCCAACTGACCATTACATATATATAACTAAGCCAATCCTCAATACACATGCCATGAAGATTGCAGTTAAACATAAAACCATCAAATAGACTGTTGCCATTCGGTGTTGAAATCAATGTCACTTTTATATTTCATTACGTTTATTTCCTGATACTGATCAGTCTGTGACTTCAGAAGGACACGGATTCGTAGGAGATTAAATGCCGAATTGATATATGTTGTAGTTTTGTCTTTTTATAGCCCCAGTCCCAATACTTTTTGATCAGACCCTATTTTTTTTTTTTTTTTTACCCTACCCCAAACCATCAACATAAACAGATTGCCGCGTGAGTAGACAGAAGTATGCGTTCTTCAGTTGATGATATAACATAATCAACAGAAAGAAAAGGCATGAAAGTACCTCTCCCTGCGTTTCGTGTCGGGATTTGAGAAGCTATAGATGTCTGCTTATTGCCTCGTCATAATGCGAGACATCGAAATGATTGAACGAAATGATTTAGCGAATTCGCCAAACTTATTTCCCTTAGCAACCTGACCTGATCTGATCTGACCTGAACTGCCCCTGGAGTACATCAATATGTCCACAGCCTGACATGTAGATATTAGCTGAATTTTAATCGCAGATTTTCAGGCTATAGTGTTTGATCTGCATGATTAATATTCAAACAGAATCGGCTACACTGATAGTGAATGTGGATACGTTGAAATTATTCGTTATTAAACATTTTAATGTACATTATTACTTAGTACGAGATAATTTTTCTAAATATCTATTAATGTAAAACTTAAAAAACATATGATTAAAAAGTGGCACATTATCTTTACAGTATTATTTTGGCTACACGAGCATTATAGACTCAAATATAAGCGAAAATATTTGCCTATACGCCGAATAGATAAATCCTGTTAGACTCAAATATGAAGAAGCATTAATTAATTCAAACAGTAAATCCTCTATATATATATAAACAAATATTTTCAACGGAAAAAAAAAAAAAAAAAAAAATTTATAATTATGGATACATTCAGTGGACAAACACTTCCAATATTTATTTCAACATATATATATATAATAAACTAGCATACATCGATGTTTGTTAGCGATCAAAACGACGTTGCAAATTTTTAAAAACAGTAAGTTTGTCTTGATTCAAAATCATCTACGACCAAAATATATATATATATATATATATATAATAAATACAGCAATCACTATCACACTATTGACTTGAAATATTTTTGCTCATCCTTGCCTTTAAAGGAGTGCCCTTTTCCGTGCTAATGTTGCTACATGCCTTACTTCTTGCCTATCTCACACTGCGATTTTTTCTAAGCTCTATACTAAACATTAAATCTGTTACGAAAAAAGGACTAAACACAATGAATACAAAACGATCAGCTTTAAAAAAAAAGACTCGTAACTGGAAAAACCGAATGTAAAAAGAATGTTAACAGCAAATACTTTTTAATACCCAACCCAGTTCTGTGGAATCAGAATCAGCGTTGAGTTTAAGCAAGCGAATGAGCCAATTGGAGTAATGTGCCATGCAGATTTAAATTTTTCCCACTTGTGACGAATGCAGCTGTCGATGTTTTTTTTGCATGCTAGTTAACATTCGTGTCAGTCAGCTGTATGCTCTCACGCTGGCCAATAGAACCTTCCTGACTATACGTGGCAGCCAGATAGGCTCTCACTCTGTCCAGTACAAAATGGCCGCAAACTACATGAAAACTGCCGTAGAAGCATGAAAAAATTGATTATTTCCACTATCTATGGGAGTTGGGAAATGTAAAGTCGGTCTTGGCCTTTCCGCTAACTTGGAGCATGTGTATGTAAATTTTGGTGCAAATCCGTCGACAATTACGGCCGTGTATTTGTTACACACACACACACACACAAACAGAGAGAGAGATCCCGCCTTTTATAAATGGAGATATTTACTTATACCCAAGCCAAGGAAATTATTGTAGACACAATATGGGCAAACAATAAGCGTGATACACGCTTATATTATCATGTATATTTCAATACATGACTGACTTTTCCTGTTTGTGATCCTCTCTACTGTTCCAACTTATTCACCCTGCTCTTAATAGTTCTTGAACGGACTTTGAAGATGGAAGCCAGATTATGAATGTTAGTACCATTACTGAAGTCCTGGATGATCTTTTTCCTCTCACCATTTCTCATTTGAGAAGACAGTGGAGCTGACGCAAAACGATTTTAACTCCAAAGGGTTTTCAGTGATTCTTAGAACAAATGTTATCAAGATGGCTAAATGTCTCTACCTGAAAATAGGTTAAAAAGAAACTCATTTAGTTTAGTGTTTTTTTTTTTGTAAAACATTATATGGGATGGACAATTGTGCTGTAACACGATTTTGGACAATTTTGATGTTACACTCGTCATATATAGGCAGAAACGTTAAAGTGGGAGGGAGAGAAATAATAAGTAATCAAATTATTACTCACCTAAAATGATGTATCTAGAATATAGCAAAAACAAACAGAATCTGTCTAACCGGTTATCATTCCTAGTTCTTCAGATCGCAGTCAATTATAAAACATTGAAATATATGCACAGCAACTAATAAATGGATTAAAGACAAAAAAATGCTACCAGAAAATCGAAATCCGACCTTAGTTCCAAAAACCGGCGAACGGAAGACGAAAAAAAGGTGTCGAACAATTCTTGGTAGGATATGCGGTATTCAAAGAAAAAACAACGAGTGAGTTGTGGCGGCACTGTCCTCACCTCTGCCCACCGAAACACGATGTCCATCTACGGCTTTGCGGCGGAGGGTAAAGGGTTAAGATCTAAAGCAGACAGAGACGGCGAGGAAACGAAACTAGAGGTTTCTCCGGGAGGAGATTGTCCGAAAAACCGTCCCTAGAGACCATCCTCGCGAGCGGCGGCGGCGACATGGGAAAAGCGTTCTCTTCCAGAAAATCGACAGAAAAAAAAATATCTAAGTAATCACTTGTATTTATGTCAGATAGAAAGGCTTATATTAAAAGTGATACAGTAAAGTTACTTTGAAGTTTAACATCTGTCGTATTTTTTTTTATGCCAATACTGCACTCTGTTGCCCTCGGATCAACGCAAAGTTAAATATTGCCTTTGCCTGAATTTATCAGTTCCAGGTGGCCCAGAAAAGATATCTTCAGGAACGATTGGGGTTGGTTGAAAAATATTGAATGATGAATTATGATTTTAATATATCCTCTAACCGGAAGTAATGCAAGTAGCCTGCTGCGTAGTGACTGTTTTGTTTTTAACATTTCAACTCCCACACTATATCCGGTATTGGCTCTGTTTATAATTCACATCATCCCTAACAACGCTAAAATAGGAACATTTGAAAAGGAACTAGATCATAAAATCTGAACATTTTCTACTCTGAGTTAAAAGGAAATTAAAAGATTTATTGAATACTTTTTGAAAATTCTAATTTTTTTTTTTTAAATA